GGCGCTGGTTAGAAGCTCTCTGATTGGTCAATAACTTCTTCTGGAATATTCTGGAAACTTGCGACGTAATACCTTTCCGCAATGCAAAACGCATATGTGTTTTCTCGAACAATCGATGATGATTGAATTTTTGATAATTGAATAAAATTATATATTTTTTTCAAAATATGTCGAATAAATTAAAATAATTTTTAAAAACGATCGATAATGGTTTAGAATTGCGAGGATAATTTGAATGAATCTCATTTCTTTAAAGAAAATTTGAATTTTTCGTCACCGCGTTGGCTGAATATGATTGGCTCGACTTAGAAAATGGTCGGCGGTCAATTAATTTTCAAAATTATCGTCATTCCTTCGTCCTTCGAATATTTTTCGATGACGTTATACATTTCTTACGAATGCTTTTGGTTTCTCTTTTATTTCAATATTCAGGATGTAATTATTATTTTAGATAATTATTCGATTCTACGCAAATGACCTAAATTCTTTTCGTTACTCAAGACCACGCGATTAGATCGATGAAATTTTTGTTGTATGTTACGTGTTGAATCGATACTAACCTTCTTATACGATTAATATCTATTTAATATTTTAATCGGAAATTATATGTAACATTTATAATACATTATTTTCAATTACGCATTATATCTTTGAAAAACATGCATGTTTTATTTCTACATAATTGTCAATGGATCCTCTTAGAATATGTTCGCGTTTAATCGAAATAAATGATTTTTTCTAATTTTTATAAAAAATATGGATATTAATTTTATCGGGATAACGAATTATAAAATTATAAACACGGATTTATCAATCGTTTCAAAGGAGCACCAAATTTAGTTAATATTATAATGTATGTATGTTTTCCAAAAAAAGTCACGTGTGTAATAAAGTAAAAGAAATAATACTTTGAAAATGTCACGGTGGTGTAACTTGAAATTATATCTCACCATGAGGAGTCCTAAACATACGGAAATAATATTAAGTTATTTGAAGCTTGGAAAGGATGGTAGAATCAGGGATACATTCTGTCAATATAGTAGAGGTTATGGACAGTGTTGTTATATTATAAAGAAACAGGCTTATCCATTATGTAAATTGATAGATGCATTATATACAAAGTGTAATCCATTAGTTTTTAAGTATATAACTAGCCCACTCAGAATAGGAAAGAGTGATACGAATCAAAGCCGTTATAAAAATCTAGGATTAATATTAGGAGGTATTGGCCTTGTCACAGCTTTGTGTGATTCTCCTGATTTTACTAGAGGTAAAATATTATGTAGTATTTGACTATAAAATGTATCACATTTTAATATTATTTCTTTTTCTAACATTTATGTACATTTTATGTGATCTAGAAAAGCGTTTCTTTCGTGCAGCACAATATGGCAATATACCGGAACTTAAAAAAGTATGTAAATGAATTTTTGATTATACATGTATTAAGGAAATGGAGTTATTTTGTTATATTTTATTATACAGGCATTATCAGATGGTATCGATGTGAATGAGAGACATCCATTGGGTTGGACTGCTTTACAAGCAGCAGCAATAAATGGAAAGGGAGATGCAGTTAAATTTTTGATAGAAAAGGGTGCTGACTTAAATGCAGGAGACAATTTTATTAATGTTTATAAAACTGCTACGCAAAAAAGTTTACATATAAGAGAAGGTATTTTCAATAAAATTAATTATTAATATTTATGATGTAAATTAATAAATAATTATATTTTTAATGGCATCAAAATAATCTTTAGTATTTGAGAGAAGATCAGATGAATTCTTTGATGGATTGAACAGTAAAGCTACATTTCATGGTTTCACAGCATTACATTATGCTGTTCTAGCTAATTCTAAAAGTTGTGTAAAGGCATTATTAGATGCAGGAGCAAATCCTACTGTTGAAAATGATGCAGGACATCGACCAGTAGAATACACAAAGGAAGGAGAAATTAAAGAAATGCTTATCAAATATGCTGTAATGTTTGATGAAATTTTGAAAGAAAAAGTATATATATATACCTAAAAAAATAATCACAAATATTCTGTTGTTTGATATGTATATTCTTTGAGAATTTTTATAATTCTATCCATAATTTTGATCATTAACTTTAGGAAGCAGAAGAACGACGTAGATTTCCATTGGAACAACGTCTTAAGCAGCACATTGTTGGACAGGAAGGACCAATTTCTATTGTTGCATCTAGTAAGAAAATATAACTTTTTAATTTATATAAAATATATTTTCCTTTCAAATAAATATAAAATATGTATCATTATTCATTAAGCTATTAGGAGAAAAGAGAATGGTTGGATAGATGAAGAACATCCATTGGTATTCTTATTTCTTGGTTCATCTGGAATTGGAAAAACTGAGTTGGCTAAACAATTAGCAGCATACATTCATAAAAATAAATCAGGTGGCTTTATTCGCTTAGATATGTCTGAGTATCAAGAGAAACACGAAGTTGCTAAATTAATTGGTGCACCACCAGGGTATATTTATATATATTTTCTAACCTTTATACTAATTTTTCATGTCTAATTTTTATGTTCTGTTTTTTTTTTGTTTTTTTTTGTTTTTTTTTGTTTTTTTTTGTTTAGATATGTAGGGCATGAAAGTGGTGGTCAATTAACAAAGTTATTAAAAAAATGTCCTAATGCTGTTGTATTATTTGATGAAGTTGATAAAGCACATCCCGATGTCTTAACAGTACTATTACAACTATTTGATGAGGTATAATTAATAAAAATTATTAGTAAATATTTAATTATATATTAAAAATGATCTGATAATTAATATTTATAATTCAATAGGGAAGATTAACCGATGGTAAAGGAAAAACGATTGAATGTAAGAATGCTATATTTATAATGACATCAAATTTAGCAAACGAAGAGATCGCAGAATATGCCATTCAGCTTCGCGAAGAAGCAAACCGTTTATTATCTCAAAGACTCGATAAAAATTCGAACGAAGATCAAGAACCAGAACATATTGAAATATCACGTAATTTTAAAGATCAAGTGGTACGATTAATTTTTTATTTTAATATAAAAATATTAAAATAATTTTAATTTGTTAATTAAATTATTATTCATATAGGTACGACCGATATTGAAAGCGTATTTTCGAAGAGACGAATTTTTGGGTAGAATAAATGAAATTGTTTATTTCTTACCATTTTCTAGAGCAGAATTATTAAAATTAGTAGCTCGAGAATTAGAGGCATGGGCTGTACGTGCACGTGAAAGGCATATGATAGAATTAAAATGGGAGAGAGATGTTTTATCAGTATTAGCTGATGGATATGATTCTCATTATGGTGCACGTTCGATTAAATATGAAGTTGAAAGACGTGTAGTCAATCAATTGGCCGCTGCTCATGAACGAGGACAAATTGGTATATATATTAATGTTTTTATTTGCAAATTAATTAAATTAATTTAATCTCATAATATATGTATATATAACGCGTTATAGCAAAAGGATGTTGTGTGTTACTTAAAGCAAAGTGGCATGAAAATGGAGCAAGTATATGCCTTTCCGTTCGGTCAAAAGGAGTAAAAGATTTTGTGGAGATCGCCGAAACCGATAATTTAGTTAAAAATGTAAATTCTTTGATCTAATTTGGAATTATTTCAGATTATTTAAAAAATATAGATAGACCATAATATAATGATACAATTGACTTAATAATATGTGATAAAAATGAGATGAGATTTTTTTTCATTGCACTGTAACTAGTCATACAATTTCGAGCTAAGATAAAACTGTATATGTATATATATTTAATTTCAAAGATTTTTCTCTACAACGTTCTTTTCGTGCTTTTTAACGCCGTCACTTTTGACAGATATAATAAATGTTTCATTAGTTTAGGTAGAACATAATATATTATTTTTTCAATTTCTTCTTTCTATTCACATGGCTTTTTATAAATTAATTAGTATGATATATATATATATATATATATATATATATATATATATGCGCTCGAAGATTATTTGAAGTGACATAGTTAGAATTTCTAGCTTAATGATATCCAAGAAAATAAATTGATTGTTGTATACATCATTACTATAATCACTTTAATAAAAAATGATTTTTTGCATTTTTTTTTTAATTTTTTTTTTCTTTTTTTTAAGATATCTATAAAAAAAAATTCCACAAATACATCAACGATTTACCATGTAAATAATATATTCTTTATTACGAATAAAATTACGATAAGGATACATTACAAGAAAAATATAGATTACACATTACATGTAAGATACATTACTGTACCAAGATGATATAAGATATTATTCGTAAGAAATCCACAAAACCAAGTTGTGGAGAATAGTTTTTCTATTTCTCCCTTCTGTTTTTGTTTTTTGATTTTTTTTTTTTTTCTTTTTTCGATCGTTTTCCTTTAATTTGCAATTACAATATAGAAGAAGTTAAAACGTAATTCTTTTTTTTTTCTTTCTTTTTTTCTTTTTTTTTTTTTTCTTTTATGTTCATCATTTTTTATATTTGACAATCGATAGAATAAAAAGCAGTTCCATTTGATAGAATATTCTTGACATATACAATTAACATGCTGACGGTATTTCACTATACAGTGCAAGGCAAATTCAGGTCCGACCAACGGGGTGTCTATCGATTTAGAAATTATTAACGCTTTCTTCTTCTTCTTCTATTTTCTTTTTCTTTTTTTCTCTTTGCAATGTTCCTGTAAAGGATATCAAGTGTAATATATTTTTATAAAGGAACAATTTTTAATTATCGAAATTGAAGTGAGATTTCTTTTTCTTTTCCTTTCTTTTTAAGATCGATTTTATATATATATATATATATATATATATATATATATATATAAACATAAAATTATTAAAAAACGTTTAAAGATAGAGAATAGTAGTTCGGTAGACACCCGGGATGATTGTTCATACGGCGGTAAACATATATATATCTCAAGTATATGTATATGCACGCGTTAATATGCGTGTATATATGTATATACGTGTAAATTTAATACAAACAGTATACCTCTCGCTGTATGTGTACGTAGAACAATAGAAATACTGTGTAAATATAAGTTTAAGCGTACGATTCGGACCGATTATTTCTCGACAATAAAGCGTCCCTTCATTTTTTTTTTTCCTTTTTCTTTACTCTTCATCTTTACTTTTCATTATGCCATTTCTTTTTAATTTTTTTCCTCTCATTTTTTCTCCCACACGAAATTCCTTTGATACTACACAATTTTTGCGTTATATAATAATTGTACTTATATGTATAATATATATACACACACACACATATATATATATAAATATATATATATATATATATTTACTCATATATATTATACCCATTTTTATAATATGGATGATAACGATTATGTAATTTAATTCTTCTTTTTTTTCTTTTCTCTCGTTTTCATTTTACTTTTTTTTCTCTTCTTCTTTTTTTCTTTTTTTCTTTTTTCTTTTTTTTTTTTCATTATTTTATAATGATCTCATTCGTCGCATTCATGACTTTTTTCAGTCAAACGATTAAAAGATTCACACTATAAGATCTAATCATTTTTCAATAAATGATGGACTCTTTCTTTCTCGAATCCTCTTAAGTTATAATAATAATATTTTTAATTTTTTTTCTTTTTTGGATTTGAAAATATCTTTTTTATGATATGACAATTTGGTCAGAAAATTCATGCAACGAGATAAGACATATGTATATATATATATGTATATATATACACATATATATATACATATATATATATATATATAATCCTTCCAATAATTTTCTTTAAATCTTCCATTTTCTTTATTACACATCGTAATATCAATATGTTAAATTAATAAATTTGTGTTTTTTTTGTCCTTTTTTTTCTATTTTTATTATTTTTTTTTTTATTTTTTTATTTTTTTTTTTTATTGAGATGGTATCTAGATCATCTTCCTTTAAATATTCTGACGACATGAATATGAATTAGTCTCGTGCTACACATTACAGTTTATGCATTTTTTTGTTGCTTTGCTTCGATAATTGTACGATTATTAACAATAACGACTTCCGATATATATGTATATTATATATATATTACATAATAATTTATATATATATATATAATATAATAATATTATAGCGAACAGTTAATAGTTTAATAGTTTATAATTTAATAATAATTATAACAATAATAATAATAATAATAATAATAATAATAATAATAATAATAATAATAATAATAATAATAATAATAATAATAATAATAATAATAATAATAACAATAATAGTAATAATAATAATAATAATAATAATACTAACAATAATAATAATCATTATTATTATTATATATAATAATAGATACATTTACACGAGAGACATATATTTTTTTAGGCCTTCGAATTCGATAACAAGCCGTGTCTTTTACGTGCGTGAAAATTTTTTGTTGTAATTACTTTTTTTTTCTTTTTCTTTTTTTTTTTTAATTGTTTTTTATTCTTTTTTGTTTTGTTTTGTTGTAATTCCTTTCTCTTTCCTTCTTGTTATTTTATTAATATTCTTTGGAGGCCACACTTTTTGCACATTTAAGAAGGCTTAGGCCTAATTAAGTCGGTTTAAGTCTCCTCTAATTATGTTTATTTTTTTTATTCTGTTTTTCATTTATTTATTTATTTATTTATTTATTTATTTATTTAATTTTTTTATTTTTTTATTTATTTATTTTGAATTAAATACACATGCGATGAAAAGTAATATCGGACTTTCTTGTCGGACGTTTTATTAGAAATACTAAATGTTTTCATTGAAATGCGTTTTTAGCTTAAAATGATTTTTATCTTAAAACTTTAGTTTGTACGATTTACTTACGTTCGTAGTAAAATGGTACATGGTTTTTTTCTCTCTCTTTTCTCTCTTTTTTCTTTTTTTTTTTTTTTTTCTTTTTTTTTTCTTACGAAGATATTTTCGTAACGTAATAATATACACATATCTTAATATATTAAATTAATTGAAATATATTAATAACAAAACGGGACCTTCAATCCATTTAAATTGTAGCAGATACATTTTCATTAATTACACGAATATATTCCCATATTTAAATGATCAAGATTTAAAAAATCTCAATTTTCATAAGTTCACGGTTGATAATAAATCTGCTATAATATAATACATATACAATAAAATATATAATATTATATAATATATATAGATATATATATAGTAAAATTGAACGTAACATAAACGTGATAATAATATAATTCAGAGAGATAATGGATTTTCAATAACATTAATTTCGAATCCTTTTCTTTTCTTACTTTTTTTTAACTTTTTCTTTTCTTTTTTTTTTATTCCTTTTTTCTTCTTCTTCTTCTGCCTCTTTTTTTTTTAGTTTTACATGTATAATAACACTACTTAGTTTTTATGTTTTATATCGTTATTCAACGATATTCCCTAAGGCTATCACAAAAGTGAACAAGGGATTATTTAGATTAGAGATTACGAGTATGGAGAAGAGGAGGAGATACATATTTTTCTTTGTTGATCCAATTATTGATTATGGTACCTGATAGTTTGGTATCGAACCTTGCTAATATGATAAAACACGTTCCTTTCATTTATCAATATCAGATCTTGATCAATTAATCGTTTAAATAATTTCTAAAGTTAATACGAAATTAATTGAATTAGATCTCTTCTTATTTTTTCATTCTTTCTTTTCTTTTTCTTTTTTCTTTCTTTCTTTTCTTTTTTTCCTCTCATTCTTTCTTCCTTTAAGGATATCGGAATTATATTTTTTTGGATTCTTCTATAAGAGATATTTCCCCAATTGGAAATTCTTTGATAAAATATTCAACGATGACGTTTAAGAGTCTAATGAAAAAAAACTAATGCAATGTATGCCACATGGCAATGGTCTTTCTTGGCGACTGAGTCATATGATGCCAATGTTCACGAGTCTGATTGCTACTACTTTCTGATCCTGATCTTGTTGATACTGTAGCTGGTCCAACTATGCAAGAGCCAACTATAGCATTTCCACCGATGAGTTCGCTGCTTGAATCTAAGACGCATACCTTTAATGAAAAGAAAATTAAATTTGTTATTGTCGAATTTACAAAAAAAAAAAGCTTGTGTATTCTTGTATATTTCATTGAATACTCTGCAATTTTTTTGAAATGATGTTACTCTTTCCTTTTTTTTCTTTTCTTTCTTCTTCTTTTTTTTTTTTGTTTTTTGGAAGAAAAATCATTATTAAATTTTTAAGAAATCATTGAATACTCTGCAATTTTTTTGAAATGATGTTACTCTTTCCTTTTTTTTCTTTTCTTTCTTCTTCTTTTTTTTTTTTGTTTTTTGGAAGAAAAATCATTATTAAATTTTTAAGAAACGACATTACATACCTCGATCGCGGATGTTGCGAGAGAAGTCGCAGGAACATTGAAGGTCATTGCTTCGTTCCATACAGGACTCGTCGTTGCCTTTCTCACAGCAGTTTTCTTTTTCTTCTTTACTCTTTTATCGCCACAAAGAAGACTGACCTTTACGAATGGATCCAATGTTTCCTTTTCCTAAATATAATTTTTTTTCTTTTCAATGTCAAATGTCAAAGTTTTATTTATCAGTCAGAAATAGGAGAAAAAGAAATGTATCTTAAAAAGTTACTAGATTTTCTTCTTTTTTCCTATAATTATTTATGTAATTAATAATTATAATTGTTCCGCCTGCAAACATGCAACCATGCTGACATTGTCGATTATATTTAATGGCGAATGCTATATATAGAAATTTTTTCTCATCCCTCAAAGTACGCAACACCGTCATACATAATTTGTAAATATCGGTTACATACTCTACGGGATAAAAAAAAAAAAGGTTGTTTATTGATAGATGGCGTTCACAAGCAACATTATCTACGTTGCCTGAAGTATTGCCTACGTCCAGGCGTCATACATATATTTTTTTTTTTTCTCTAAATTAATTATATCAATTAATTTTCTTTATGAACGTAATTAATTACCTGCGATGGGAATAAATTTCTTGCTTTGAGTATAACCACAGTGAGTCTTTCGGCACTGGGTAAATAAGAAAGCGAAAGAAGAACCTCTTGAATCTCCTCTGGTGGTTTTTTCTCACGTTCAATTTCGCCCCAAACTTCGACGGAAGATGAGGTTGAAGGTAATTCTAAACTGTCCATCGCGACCCTAACTGATCCTACAATGTCGTTTCTTGAGAAACGATCGTAATCGAATACCTATAATTTAAAAAACAAAAAAGATTGTGTCGGTCTTTTAATTAGGTTCCGATTAAAATTGAATTAAATATTTTTTATATTACAAAAATATTAGAATACAACATTGATTAGATAGAAAAATTAGATAGAAAATAACAAAGTTAATGACCTGTAGAACCAACGTCTTGTCCTGTAATTCTTCATAACTGACCGGAAATTTAAAGTGTTGATCGAAAAAAGGATTAGGATCATTTCTATGAATCGGGGTTTGCCTCTTGCGTGCATCAACTTCAGGACTGAGTGTCAGTTTCACATAAGGATCGTTGAAACCACCTTGATCGCTGCCAGCTAGATCATGTGCTTCGATTAGATGAACGTGGAGATCGGATCGATCGAAATCATACTTCAAACGTAAATGCAATCGGCCGAGGCTTTTACCGGTTCTACAAAAAAAAAAAACGAGATTTTTCTCACATACACATACATATATATATATATATATATTTCTTTTTTGTAATAATACATTATTTTTTTTTTGTAATAATACATTATTACAAAAAAAGCTGTTTTTTTTTAATCAATTCTTTCTTTTTCTTTTTTCTTTTTCTTTTTTTTTTTTTTTTTTGTGTAATTCTCTTTGTGCCGATACATCGTACAAGATTATCTACACGTACTCGTTAGGCATTAAATAGTAATCAGCTTCTACGACAGCAGTTAAACTGTACTGCTTTAACGTGTACGCCATTTAATCGGTGATTTGATCTCCCACACTGTTTGAATATCGCTTAAATAAATTGACCATTTCCTGATGATCCAATTACTCTCTATATCATAGGAACAAACATGTATACCCTCTTTATTTTTCTCTTTCTTTCTCTCTCGTTCTCTTGTTGGAATTATTTATCGTAATAAATCATTACGATCATTGATATGTACGTGTATGTACATTGTTAATGTTATTACATTAATTTATATTTGTCTTACCTTCGAGCGCTTAAAAATACTGGACCATCTCTTCTTTGATAAAGATCTGGTTGAAGTGAACCTAAAGGTGATGCTGGTGGTGCTGGACCACCATCGCTATTATAATTAAAATTATTAATTGTATTTAGATTAATTTTGATTAATTTAACGTCGAATTGAAGATATATCTAATATTTATTTTATCTTGAATTTACCTAATAGAAGCACGCGCAGGAGGAATGAGAAGTGGTGAAAGACAACGACTAGCTCTTGGCGTTCCTTGGATGCCACTAATCGAAGGACATCCACAAGATGAACTAACGCCTGTTGCTAATGACGATAGAGAACTTTGTGAGGGTGAAGCATTTCCGCTGTGTAGACTTCCGGAATAACTCGCGGGACTTCCACATCTTGCATCTAGTGATGCTGTTCTTGCTGGTGATGGCGATCTATTGGAAAAGCAAATTGTTTGTTTAAAACAATCGTTAAAGGAGAGAAACAAAAAAGTAAAAAGAAAGAAAGAAAAAAGATAAAAGAAAAAGGAATCGTAATTTTTTGCAAATTGACATTTCTCAGATTTAAAACAAACGTTCTGTTAATATTCAAAATAAATACCGTATGTCATAATATATTGAAAATATATATGCGTATAATTATAATACTATATATAAAGAAAAAAGAAAAAAAAAAAAAAAAACAGCAATGATTTCCTTCAACAAAATTTTCTCAATTTAATTATTTTGAAATTTAAACCAACATTTTGTGCATGGTAATTTGTCTAACAAAATTCTACACCTTTCATCTCTTTATACTCTACTCTTTGAACTTCATGAACAATAGGATCACAAAAGCATTGTTCGTAATCGAGTTTCGAAAGTTAACAAATATCTCGCATATAACTAATATACCCCAAAGGTAATAACTTATTATTTACATTTTAAATACTTCTTCATCTTTTTTCCTTTTTTCTTTTTTTTTTTTTTATTTTTCTTTTTTCTTATATTATAATATTTTCACCGCAATAAAAGTTTTCTCGATAGAAGCAGAAACTAAACTTAAAGGATTAATCTACTTACGTTTTTTAAAGTTTTTTTTTTTTTTTTTTTTTTCTAGTTAACTTAAATAAGCTTAATAAACAAGAATGGTTTTTTTTTTTTTCTTTAAAGAAAAAACAGAGGAGTTACTTAAGTCCTAATATAAAGTGTGGACCCCCTTCTTAAGGTGGATAAAAGTTTCTCGATGATATTAAAAAAATCGATTACTATTTAAAAACTTCTATATTAACTTGAAAAATGTCTTGAAAAAGAGTAATTGATTTTTAAAATCGCGTAAGATTTTTTGGCCCAGTCTATATAAACGAATGAATATTCATTTCGCAAGTGGATACATAAATACATAGATTATATGCATAAATAAATAAATATATATATATATATATATATATATATATATATGTAAAAGTAAAATGGGGTTAGCACGTTTTACGTTATCTGAAATTGGATCGGCCAATCATCATTCTTATCGTGTATTGCCATCAAAAAGTTTAATGCCAGCTGGAGTAGCTATTTCCCTGTTCGGTCGTTCGTGTTTAACAGCAAGTCCTGGCCTAATAGACACACCCACGCGACTCATTATATCTTGCCGGACATCTAATGCACCAACCGAGATTGAATATCTACCGTCCATCAGTGATATTAAATGACCTCGAAGAAGAAGAATGAAAAGGCGTTCCATCTTAGTTCCTCTTCGAACTTCAATACAATCTATTTAAATCATTTCGCATAATCGTATATTTTTATTACAATATCTTAACAAAGTCAAATATTATTAATTATTTTCTAATTGAATATTTCTAATCACAATTTCTATTCCATTATATTATAGGATGGGCCAATATGTATATAAAATTTGTCAATTATTTATTCGATTTTTCTCCTTTACATTAGATCGAACAAGTTTCAATGATGGACTATAGAGATAATTTTCTGTTTTGTTTTTCTTTTTTTTTCCTTTATTAATTGGTAAAAGTAAATAAAAATTCTTTTAAGAGAATTTAAATTTTATAATTAAATAACCCCTATGATATAGGCAATCCTCCATGCATTGTTGATAATGTTCTTTGCGAGCGCCATCTATCAGTAAGAAACTTTTTTAAACCCCATAGATTATGCAACACCGTCATACGTAACTGTACTCATTGATTGCATACTCTATATTCTCTAGGTTTCATTATTGACATTTATAAATAAATTAATTAATTAACAAAGTAAATGAATTAATAATTTTTTTTTATAGAAAATAATTAGAAATAATAAAGCATTGCCTAATGATCATTATGATTTACAGATTGTAAAATTACAATCTTAAGAGCTTTTTTACAATTTGAAAAAAGAAAAGAAAAAAAATGAGCCTAAAAAGTCTTGGAAAAAAAGGTGATCTACGTTCAATGTCAGTTTTAAGAACTTTCCTTGGCTCACCCTGTATTAAATCCAAAACTATATTCTTCATACTTAATCAAATTACCTGAAAAGAAAAATTGATTATATTTCTAAAATGAGCTTTCAATGAAAATGAAAAGTAACATTTAATTTCTAATAGCTCGATTAGAAATAAAAAGGAATTTAATGAATTAACCTTGAACTTCTGCTAGGTGGATATGAAGAAGCGGCGTGTAAAGGATCATGATGATGATGATGATGATGATGATGGTGATGATGTTGTTGTTGATGATGACGTCCATCGGGTCCGAACGCTCTGATTTGAGGGGAAGAACCACGATGAGGGGAAGGACCTGAGGCACCTTCTTGAGAACTTTGCGAGCTGACGGATGAATTTCTTCCATGGGCTCGTCCACTTCCACTTCCCCCACTACCACACGGATAACTACGACTTTGATGGGGTAATCCTCCTAAAATATAATTATTCGTTATCCAATACTATGAATTTTTTATCTTTCCAATCGATCGAATCCAATCATGCCGATCGATATAATGATGTGAAAAATATATGATTAGAAATTTTTATTAGAAAAAAAAAAAGAAAGAAAAAATGTTATTTTCTGATTATTAGAATGATTTACGATAAATTCATATAAAAACCAATGCACAAGTGAGAGGAGATAAATCAAATAGTAATAAGAAAAAAAGAAAATGTTTCTAATAAAAACGTCGTTCGAAAATTTATGTTGTTCGAATTTGATTGTCAAAATTTCACATTAAGTATCTTTTAAAGGCCAAAAAAAAAAGAAATGTGTGAAATAGTTACGTGTGAAATAATATAACTCTTACATAGAAAGTAGAAAAAGAAAAATTTTGATTAATTTGCAACTTAGTTTTTCTTCATTCTTTCTTTCCATTAATTATTATTATTATTTAATTCATTGATAGGTAAAGATTTTTCCACTATACTTTTATTATCTCATTCTTATGATTGATCATATATTTTATCAATTTTCATCTCTTTCCTTGGTAAAGACATATATCATAAATCGTTTGATCTTTTTCATTTTTAATTATTTATTTTTATTTCTCTGTTTCCTTTATTTATTTTATAATATTTTCGTGAATTTCAATCGTTATAAGTTTCAACACGCAAATGCGAATACGAATCACAAATTTTATTGGTGGAAAGTTAAAATAGACTAGTCGTTTTTTCAATATTTAATGGCAATAAACAAATCGAAAAATATTAATAAATATATATATATATATATATATACATATACACACATGTATATACGATAAATGAATGAAATATATTCGCAAATGTATAAAATACATCTAATAAAATTTTATCATTAAACTAGGAGGATTCAAACTCATTTATTTTTATCGATCTTTTCGTATCCGATTTATTTATTTTTTCTTTTAATAAATATAAAATAAAAAATTTAAAAATATATATACATATTTTTAATCGTCTTATACATACATATATATATATATATATATATATATATATATATTTTCTCTAAAAAAAAAATATTTCAAAATGTTACAGGTCAGGGAAGAGAATACGTTTGATAAAGAATTTACACGTACAAATGCACATTTTTTACGTCGTTATTTTCCTTAGAAACGACCTAACCCTTTTTTTACAGTGCATAAAAATCGCCTGCAACGTGGTGCATACTTTTTATAACGGGGATATGAAACATAACGCTCGTAAACAGTGCCAAGTGGCGCACCGTGAGCTCGTAAAAATCTAAATATGAAAGATAATCGAGAGAGCGTAAAACTTCGGGAACATAGTTATCGCGTGGGAAGGACGAAAAGAGAAAGAGAGAGAGAGAGAGAGAGAGAGAGAGAGAGAGAGAGAGAGAGAGAGAGAGAGAGAGAGAGAGAGAGAGAGAGAGAGAGAGAGAGAGAGAGAGAAATTAAAAAAAAAAAAAGAGTAAAGATAGGGGAAAACAAGGAGACGAAAAAATAAAAACAAATATTTTCTTCTTTTTTTACGCTTGACCAAAGTTACTTACTATAAAAAAATTTATTTGTAATACAAATGAATTCTTAAAAATAATCCAAATGATTATGGCAAATGTTTGATATAAAGTTTAATATTATTTAAAAAGAATTGTTTATTCGAAATAATTGTAATAAAATTAGAATCGTATATGTGTAACAGAAGCATTTGATGAAATTAAAAAAGAAAAAAAAAAAAAAAAAAAAAGAAAGAAGAAAAAAAAAAGAAATAAAATTTCTTATCATTTAAATACTAGTTAAAAATAAAATTGGATACCTGATTCGACCATTACGGGTGATGGTTGTATAGTATGTTGTTCCTTGGCGACGTTGAATTCCTAAAAAATATAAAAAAGAAGAAAATTCTTTGTTAATAAAGCTAAAGACAAAGACAAGAAGATACAAGAGATCGAAGGGATAAAAGGGATTATAATAATTTTCTAAATCAATTAATATCTAATATTATCACCCCTTAGGAAATTGAAACATCTCTCTCTCTCTCTCTCTCTCTCTCTCTCTCTCTCTCCTCTCTCTCTCTCTTTCTTTTCTCATACGATTTTCTTTATCAAAGAAGAAATAAATTAACGTATGAATAAACTCGTTCGTTAATTGGTCAAAGCTGGAAATCGAATAACATTGGATTCGAGAGTTTGTAGGTATTATTCTTGCATGATTTGTCATTAAAATTAATCACCAATAGGGAAAGAGAGAGAAAGAGAGAAAGTAATAGACAGAGAGAAAGAGAGAGAGAGAGAGAGATTTTATATATATATATTTTTTTTTAATTAAAATTGAAGCATATATTACGTATCAGAAAATTTTATCGAGTATTCATTAATTTTCTACATATTTAATTATATATATATATATATATATATATATATATATATATATATCAAATTATTTTTAAATTATCGAAACGAAAGAAATTACGAAGATTAAAAAAATTTTTCTTATCTTTTCTCTATTTAATATCTCTTTTTACTTCTCTTTTTACTCTTCGGAACACTCATGATGTCTGCAACGAATTACCACCACTATTCTTCGGGACCCTTATAACTCACCCTTACGACCAATAATTTCCAACTAGTTGCGAGATAATCGTGGTAATTAAAGCGAATCGAGCAAATTATCGGAGTCGGTCTTTCGTAATTAGAAAATAGAAAATAGAAAATAGGAAATAGGAAATAGAAAAGAGAAAATAGTAAAAAAAAAAAAAGAAAAAATATAAAAAAATACGAGAACGCAAAATTAACTTTCGAATTGGTTGTATTAGTCGAGACTGCGAAAATGATGATGTTTGAAAAAAGGTGGGCTAAAAACAACAAAGAAAAAAGAAACGAGAGAGAAAAAAAAAGGGAAAACGCAGAGGAAAAAAGGGAAAAAGGAAATTTTTGATTTTGCTGAAGTGAATCGGTCGGTCTTCGTCGTTATCTTCGTCACGTGTCGAAAAGAACCGAAGAAATGCGTACTCTTGACCCAGTTGCAGACGATCTTTTATCACACTTGGGAATCGTCATTATGTATTTTCATCCTCATCTCTCCACCCTCTTCGCTTACCCCGACATTACTATTACCCCCTTACTCCCTTCATCGCCGAAGAAGTCGTTTAATCCTCCTGGGAAAGCTCGGGAAGACTCGTTATACAATTTTTTTTCTTCTTTTTTCTATCCTCTTTCCTTTTTTTTTTTTTTATCTGATGATGTATATACACTCTCTCACCCCCTGTTTTGTGTGTGTGTGTGGTTTTTTTTCCTTTTTTATTATCTTTCCCCGTATAATAAATCTCGATAGGTAGATACCTCTCTTTTGAATCTTTTTTCCTCACTTTATTTCTACCCACACATTTTGTTAAAAATCGTAATGATAATAATAACAACAACAACAACAACAACAACAACTAATAATAATAATAATAATAATAAGAATAATAATAAATTTAAAGTTACCTCCATAAACTTCCTTTGAAGTTTGACATTAAAATATTATTTATATATATATATATATATATATATATATATATATATATATATAAAATTTTTTAATATTTCAACATTGTTCTAATTTCATCAGAGAATCATTCATACTAATTAGTACTGATAGCTTTTTTCCATTGAGAAAATTCCCCAAAGATCCATTATTGTTATATACTTGTTATATAAATCTTTTTGCTCCGATTACGTGACCTTGGGAAAAGATTAACATTTACTCAAATCAAACATTTCTCTAGCCTGGCCTAATCTACCTTCCTACCTTCCTTACGTATCTTTCGTTCGTTTCTTCTTTTCTTTTTTTTATTTTTTTTTTATTCTTTCTCTTTTTTTTCTCTTTGACTTCCTTTATATTAACCTTACCTCGTTGTATGACGATAAAAACGTCTACGGTATCTTTACGTTCAGATAATAAATCTTCGTTATCGCGTGTTTGATGAGAGAAAGACATATAGCGAGAAAGGGTTTGGGAAAGGGGAAGGAAGATTTGAGAAAAATTCACATTAAGCTTGGACTGACTATATAACGTGTCTTTACTACTGTCCTACGATATCTTATCCATGTATCAATCATTCTCAGATCAAACGTCTTTCTGCAATTTTATATTTGATAATTTATCGTTAATATTTTTAAACTATCGATTATATTGAATAATTCTCTCATTGTCATTAGATCAAATGATAATATTGTTTGTAGATAAATAATATTTTGTAGAAATATTTTTAAAAAAGGAATCGATAAACTCGTCTTGCTTTTGTTTATTTTTTCTTCTTTTCATTAAATTAAATTGCAATTTTTAAATATCATTATTTCATATGAATTTTCTTTCTCTTCTTTTTTTTTTATTTTTTTTTTCTTTCTTTCGAAACTGATCATAAATATAAGATCATGAATAACTCTCTCTCTCTCTCTCTCTCTCCCTGCTCTCTTTCTCTCTTTCTTTCTCTTTCGAGGAATCAAAAAGATAATAAGTGTTATGGCAAAGAAAGATCAGAACATGAATTCGAATTTCGACGTTCTGGTAAATGTCGAATAGTAAAGGTAATGTTGGAAGGTAGAGAGGCGAGGTCGCTGGAAGCTGCTTTTCACGGGTCGATACTCTGAGCAAGCGGAGCAGGTCCTGTGGTTACGCCCACCGAACTCAAATATCAAATCTTTTGCGCGCTTTTCTTTTTTTACTTTTTCTTTATGTCTTCGTTAACTTTTCATCATCTTCAAAGATTTACTTAACAATCGATCGTTCGAAATCCCAACTTTCGACATATTAATTCATTAACATTTAAAATTAATTTTATTGAAAATAAAGAAAAAGAAAGGAAATGAAAAAAAATACAACTTGAAAATATTGATCAAACGAATAGAATTTTTTTTTTATGCAAAGAGATTAGTATAATTTTTTTAATTCATACCGAATGAAAATCATTTGGAAACATTTAAATATAAAGTAATTAAAAGTCATGTAAGAAAGAAAGAGATTGAGAACGCGAATGGTGTTAAATTGCGAAAAATATGTTCGTGTGATAGTGAGGCTTATCGTGTCACGTAGAACATTAATAATGTACTTTACGATCGTCAGAATAAAGGATTATATACAGAGATAGATATCTATGTATCTATAAACACACACACATACACACACAAACAGAGACAGATAGATAAACAGATAGACAGACGGAACAGACAGACAGATGTATAGTATTCACATATTCAGCGTGACAAATACAATGAAAAAGGATTCTCGCTCGATCTATCTTCCATCCATAGCACAATGGTTGCAAAGCCACGAAGTGTGATAGTATCCCCGTGAAACCACACGAGTGTTTTTGCAACGAAGTTTGTATCATCGGGAAAGTAGAGGGATGCTATGGGATACAAACAAAACGTTTTCTATGAGAAAATATTCTAGAAAGAGAAGGAGAAAGAGAAAGAGAGAAAGAAAGAAAGAAAGAAAACGAGAGATAGATAGATAGAAAAGTAATAGGAAATGGAGGGTTGAATTTTATCGTGATTCCATTTATAAAAGTTTTCAACTTTTCATTTGACTTTTCTTTTTTACATCCGATCAAACAAGCTTTATAATTATAGATCCTAGAAATAATTAGCTTCCCCTCTCTCTCTCTCTCTCTCTCTCTCTCTGTCTCTCTTGCCATTAATTGGTAAAAAAGTAAATATATAATTCTTCTAAGAAAATTTAATAATTAATATGCCTGACGATAGGCAATACTTCAGACATCGTCGATAATGTTGCTTGCGAGCGCCATCTATCAGTAAGCAACGTTTTTATCCCTCAGAGTGCATACGCAACTCCATTATACACACCTGCAGACATCGGTTGCATACTCTATGGGATGAAAAAAAAAAGTTGCTTACTGATAGATGGCGCTTGCAAGCAACATTATCGACAATGTCTGGAGGGTTGCATATATCTGAAGGGTTGCTTCGTTATTAATATTGACGTATAAATAAAATTATGTAACAGATGAATCGTTGCATTGTTTTTTTACGAAAAAAAAAGAAAAAATTAGTAATAAAGTGTTGTTTAATGATCATCCTTGTTTATAAATGAAGATTCTCGTTTTATCTCTTGCTTAAAATAATAATAATAATAATAATAATAATAATAATAATAATAATAATTATTATTATTATTATTATTTAAAAAATTGATAAAGAAGGGAAAGAATAAAGATATTGTAAATAGATTTTCATAGTTTTACTGAAAATTCCTAGTCCATGCTAATCATCCTTTACGATGAACGAAGCGATGCAAATAAAGGAATGATCTTATTTACAGTTTCTCGTCCACCCTGTTTACGTCGTTCGCTGCATACGACCCGAAGAAGTTTCTTCAGAGAATTGTAGCTTACTGTTTTTTCCAGACAAACAATTCCATTTTTCTCTTTTTGACTTTCGTCGCGTTCTATACGCAGACTATCGGTCTCATACAGAGTTCTACACTGAAAAACAGATAACGTCCTCATTCTGTTAAGAAGAAAGAAGAAAAAAAGATGGTTGTGACGTTAATTAATTTCATTTTGAAGTGATACAATATTCTCTTTTCTTTTTTTCTTTCTTCTTTTCTTTTTTTTTTTTTCCTGTAATTTTATTACGACATTCACGGCTTTTATCGATCACAAAATATACGTACGCATTTTATGCTGAACTTATCATATATACATTTTATTTTATTTTAATTTTATATTTTTTTAATAAAATTTATCATTGTCATAATGTCCGTTTTATATTTTTATTGCAGATCTTTTGGTAAAAAAAAAAAAAACGAAAAAAAAAGAAAAAAAGAAAATCGATAGAAGTAATGAATTAAATTATAATAGGAGAGATTATCC